ATTGCAAGCTCAGGGTCAGTTCTGACCTGATTTGGATTGCTGTTCTATCAAGAGCCTAGGCAATAACCAATAAACAGTTTTCCTGTGGATAGAAAGTAAAGTTCGCTGAATTTATAGATCGACTTACAAAATGTAAAGCCTACCAACCGCTAGTATCTGTCTTCAAACAATGAAATAAAACTTCAGCTATTAGTTTTTTCCTGACCGCAGTATGATGTTTGTACTGCTGGAAGATACTGCTAGTAGATTGAAGTCTCTCATGAAAGTCTTAAGTACGCTCCACCTACTGAGAAAGATTCAGACTGGAGTAAGTTACAAATTGATTGGTTTCAGAGTGAGATTTTCTATAGGTCAACCAGCTTTACGTATTTTTTCAGTTACTTGCAATCAAAAGACAATCTTAATGAGAAGGATTGGATCAGTGATAGCTGTGTGAAGTCAGAGCATATAGTATAACTATGTTACTAGTATTTCTCATTAATGTTAATCATTAATATTATCTGAATAAATATAACTGCATATTGTATTTCATATAAACCATTTAAAATAAAAGTTCTTATAAAAAAACTTCACAATAATAAATAATAATGAAAATAATAATTATTGTCATTGAAACTTGATTGATTAGTGCAGCTCGAATGACAATTATTCAACAGAATTCCGATGATTAATTACTGAACGTAGCTGAGTGCGCGTTCCTATCCTACTACATACTTCCATGTAATTCCGCCTATAGGTAGGGAAGCGTATTCTTGCCTATTACAACTGCATGTATGCATGTGAGTGAATGTAAATAAATTAACGAAACATTACATTTACTGGGAAATATAATTTTATCACAACATATCTCATATAGAAAAAATTATAACAGAAACATCAGTTTAAAGAATTTATAGTTCATGCTTTGTAATTTTTTTATTTATTTTGGAAACCCTATATACGAGTTTATATTTAATATAATAATAACTTTATTTAATGAAATAAAAATTTTTATTCTCAAAATTGGAACAAAATTTAAAATCATTTCAAGCCGTTGCTACGGAATATTGTCCTCCTCATTTGATACAACTAGATTATGATCTAGTGCCAACTAGTGTCTTACTCAGACGCCTACGTTCGGTTTATGAATACCAGGAAACAGAAGAATGGATAATACCATCTAAATGAAAGTAAATCAATCTTATCGATAATTTATGATTCCCATAATTAAATAAATTTTGTTAATTTTGTCAATGTAAAATGATTAACAGGAATAATTAAGAAAATTTTGGCTCAATTTTAATTAAATAATCTAGCCACAATCGCTAGGTTTTTTTCACAGTTGTAACTTTCGGAGACAAATATGTCTACTTTGATCAACTCATCTGCCATAAACTTACCTGAAATATTCCTCTGTCGTAGTTCTCACATGAGTAAGATAGTGAAAAGTTTATCCCACTTGTCAAAAGAAGCTCTGCGATTCACGACAACTTTATGCTGAATGCAGTCTTGCCAACAGAGTAAGAGAAAGCCTAATCCCTGATCATTTGTTGGACTTATTTGGCGGTGTATTGAAGCAAAGGCTTTCGAATAATTATAGAACAGTCAATCGGGCAGATAAAACTCCAATAGGTGAGCATGAAAAATTCTCTAATGCTCCAATAATCATGAAATTCTAATTGTCATGCACAGAATGGAATTTACAAAACCAGATACTAGGGAAAGTCTCTACAATGAAGAAATAAACACAGAGAAATTCATTCTAAAAATATTATTAAAAAAATATCGGTATTTTTGAGATCCATAGTAAAGAGTGCGAGTGTGCAAGTGTGTTTATAATCACAAAAATAAAACTTCTGTATATATGTATTTATATCTTCACGATTTCAGTTACGTTTAAAGTTTATTACAATAGACCTGTTTTGTAATCATACTGCAAACAATCTCTGATTTTAAGATTACAGTACAAAACAACAACATGGCTAGCTTAATTAATCCAACTCATTTACCATCTGTTATCGAAATAATAGTTCACAACATAGGGATGCAAAAGCCAGGACTTCGAACCGGAACCGAACCGATATATTTTTCTTTTGAACCAGAACGAAAACCGGAATGGAACAAATTCCGGTTCGATCAGGGCTTCGAAGCGGAACCGAATCAAAAACCAAAAAAACCCAACATTTTTGCAGAAACGAAAACTGGAATCGAACCAAACCGAAGTACATTTTTTTCTTTTAAACCGGTACGAAAAAAATTCCGGTTCAAAGCCCTGGCCAAAGCTAATAAACATGTCTATTGTGAATAATGTTTGGAGTTTTGTCTATTGTGAACTGTCATTTTTAGTCAATTATTAAGAAATTGTTGGTTATTATTCGAATTTAATTACTATAACTTTACATTTTCGATGTATTTCTCAAGTTTTAGGTTACTTTTTAAAATCTTCAATAAAATAAGCAAACAAATTTAACACTCCAAGATTTACATACCTATATGTATCTCTGTCATACATTAACACAAAGCATGTGATAGAGTTAGGAGTGTTGCCACCCGAATACCACCCAACATAATACTTATATTATATTATTTTTTTCCAACATATTACCTAAAGATAATGCCTATAATTAAATTCTATATGGCTAAGTATAATAAATATCCCCTCTATTCTGAATATTCCCTCCTTTCATATATGTTATGTTAAAACTTATTTGGGGAATATATATACACTGATATGATTACATACTGATATGATGGCAGTAAGCTAAACTAGAAAACATAGAAAAACTCTAATTAAAGACCGTACACACTACATACTAGACGAGTATGTAAATTTCCACTCTCTCCTTACCCATACTCCTCTGTTTATGTATTTGTTTATGTGTTGTGTTGAAGATGTGTGCATGTATGCGGCATTTCTAAGACAGTTCCTGTCACTTTGACAAATTATTTTCGTCTTCTTTATCAATTCGGTTCGAAATTAGTTGATGTGGGCGGGAGGCGGAGGCGGGCGTTTTAAAGTTTGCTGCTGATTAATGTAAAATAGTTTTAAAAGCAAACTTTTCACATTAATTAAACACACTTGAGATGCGATGTGAAGTGACGTGCAGTGTTACTTTAATTACGCTTACCCCTATAAAGTATAAAAGAAAAGCCCACAAAAGCGATTGGTTTTCTTTATTTATAAATTTCTTATTTTCTTTGAAATTAAATTAATATCTTGAATAAATCTTACATTTCTTGCGAAAAGCTTTATTAGTTCCTTAATGCAACCGATTTTTTGCAATAGTAATGCAACTCAATTTATAATAGTGGTTAATTGATATATCCTGGCAACACTGAAAGAGAGTATCGCTTATCAAAAGCCTGGTAACAATATTGCTTGATATATGGAACAATAGTACAGACAATATTTCTTTCGCGTTGGGTATATGGCCGACTATCATCTATGCGTACAGTCACGGAAGTTCTGCACTTGATTCAGGCTCAATAAAAGTTTAGAAGACTCCCATTTCTATAAGTTCGCAGATAGTTCTCCAAACTATTTTCCGAAGTACATCTTACATCTTACAGTTTTTTCCGAGAATTATCGCAAAACTGCTTTGACATGGTGCAGAAATTGATAAGCAAGTACTGGAGTCCTAATCGCATAATAATCAATTCTAAATGACTACATAAGTCTGCACAGAATTTTACGAGGGCTAGATTTAATTAACCATTCAATTCTATTGACCGGCACTTAATAAAGTCCCTGTTGAGAAAACTGGCGTGTGACCGCAATAAGTCGCTAATGGCGCGATACCCTTGGAGCATCCTTACAATTAAGGTAGGATATCACTCGTTAATAAATATGAGCTGAAGTTGTTGACTACTTGTTTGATTAGTCATTGTGGTTTGCATGTACATCTGCATATCTTAGCTTTGTTTGAAGTTACAGAAGCGATAATCACATTTTTAAGGATTGTCCAGTTTTGCTCTGACCCGGAAGTTTTTCTTACCGTCTGATGACACGATTTTCTTTAGTCATCATTTTAAAGGCGGGCTAAAGTTGTTTGGCAAAAAACAATATCAGATAAGGTCGCTGTGCGGATATAAACTTTTCTATATTGAGAAAATTCACAAAATACGATTTGTGAAAAGTATATATGATGATATATGGTGACCTGTGACTGCCTTGTTTATCTTTTTGCTCTCCGTTTTATATTTGGAGATTTTACGAAATACGATTTATGAAATTGAAATGATTTATGGCAACCTGTGACTATACTAATTATGGTACATGAATTCCACACATTAAATTTTTAATCCTTTCACTACTTAGCTATGCAAGTTAAATCTTTTTGTGTACTTGACATTTTCACATTTCTAAAAACTTAGTATACGGGTTAAGAAAATAAATATTTAACGTAATAAAGTTTTACTTAAAACTTTAGACGAACACTATACTCTAATCTGGCAACTCGAAAAAAGGTAATATACGTCAAGTTAAGCGAAAACACTAGAAATAACCTAAAGCTAAGGTGTGGGAAAGAGATAGCTGCTAAGTTCGCAAAGAAAACTTCAGATAAACGGTAAAAGTTATATTTTTGTTCATCGTTGTCGATGAAACCATTAGCACTAAAATTTTCATATCATACTATCCATCTGTAACATTTCTATTACGATATAATAGATATTTGTAGGCAGATTTACGATATTTAAGTGCCTTGATTAATTTAAAAGAAATTTGGTACGATAAGGTAAATATTTTTTGCATGTGCACAAAATTTTCGCTAGGTGAATACTTGATCACGAGATACGCGATCAAGGATTCACATATTAAAAAAATTATATTTGTATTAAAAAACAAAAACATATATATAAATTATATATATAATATAATTTTGGGGAATTAAAGAAAGTCTCTATCTTTTTTGCAATTCAAGACAAGTACTTAAGGTTGCCATATTTCAAGTTTTGTTTTTGAAAATGACATTTATTCGTAAATGAAAAAATATTAAATTAATTCCTTTTACAAATTTTATTTTTGAAGGTGTGAAATTGTTTTTTAAAAATGGAAGAAAACGCTACAGAAATGTCCGTCACTGTTCATAAATATATAATAGAAGATAGAGTCGACTTAAAGGGCTGTACTACTATATTTTTGGGCAGAGCAAGTGACACTGGAGATATAGTAGCTATTAAAGCTCGAGACCGTTCCACCAAGCACAAACAAATGCAAACCGAAGCTGAAGTTTATCAAAAAATTCAAGGTGACGTTGGTATACCATGTATGAAATGGTTTGGAACACATGGTGATGAGAGTGTTCTAGTGCTTGAATATATAGGCTCGACACTAGAGCAATTATATAACATTTTTTCTCGTAGTTTTTCATTAAAAACTATTTTAATGCTAGCAGATCAAATATTGACACGAATTACTTATATCCATTCCCGTAACTTCCTGCATTGCAATATTGCACCAGATAACTTCGTTATAGATGCTGATGAGCTGACCAGTATTATTTGCCTTATTGATTTCGGCCTAGCGAAAAAATATCGCGACGAGCGTACATTTGAGCACATACCTTGTACGATAAAAGAGAACGAAGAGATTGACATTGGTACGGCGGATTATGCATCCATAAACACCCATATGGGTGTAGCACAATCGCGACGTGACGACCTTGAGGCAGTTGGATACCTGCTAGTCTATCTTTGTTTAGGGTCATTACCCTGGCAAGGCATCAAGGCATCCGACAATCGTGAGAAGTGTAAACTTATGGCGGAGAAAAAATTCTCTACAACTACAAAATCATTATGTCAGGGGCTTCCAAATGAATTTGTCACTTATTTGGATTACTGCCGTCAGCTGCGTTTTGATGAAGTCCCTAATTATTTGTACTTACGTGCGCTATTTCGTAGCTTATTAAATAATAATGGCTTCATCAATGATAATGAATTCGATTGGAATTCACCAAGTGATTGTCCAAAGAGTCAAGATGAAGTCGAAATGGAAGAAATGGAAATCAAAGTGCAATATGAAGAAGGCTCAACACAATTGGCTAGTGATGAAGTAGATTCGTCTGATCAGACAATGATGGATACTGATGCAATACCCGTAAATGAAGATAACGATACAGAATCTGATAGCTATAACGAATCGATGACTGAAACATATTAAGTACCGCAGCCTAAAGACGATCCAATCGAAATATGTTTTTTGGTGAAGACGATTATATGAACATTATTTAAAATACGATTAACTCGATCATAGTTTATTTTTTCTTTTTTGTATTATAATGGTTGTTTCTAATGGTTAACTTTTTATATATGTATTTCCATATTTTTATATTATAATTACATTGTTAACGCTTACTAAAATAAAAAATCTGATCATATATTTGTCCAGTCTGTTCACTAAATGGAACCTTTAGAACTAATAAACCGATAGTATTTAAATTGAAATAAGTCCTTATAAATGCACCTGCAATAATTTCTATAACAGATTTGCCAATATTTTACTTCAATAATTTGAACGATAGTTACAACCCCAGGCACCATATAAAGTTCCAAAAGTGGCGTTCTACAGCAACGATAATCAAAATTGTGCTTAGCAATAGTCGGCTCCCTGACTACATTAAAACTTTTCAAAACTAATTCAATGATTATTAACAAGTTTAATTAATTATAAAATCTCATGCCAGTAACTCAAAACAGAGGGGGAGTTTATATTTAGCTATCTGAGATAATCTTTTCTCTTTAGAAGTATTGGAGATTTTATGCATTAGAAAGGCAGTATGGTTATTAGGCAATATTAGTTCTATAAGTAAAAAAGTGGAGAAGTTTATGTCTCAAGGCCAATAGGAAATTATATGGAAGAAGACTAATTGATGGGTATTATGTGATACATTCTGATCACAGCTGAGAAATCTCTATAAAAGCAATACTATATTCTCGTCAATGGGGGATGCTTAAAAAATGCTATTTAAAAAATACTCGCTGAGTTCAAGTTTACTCAATAATGACTATAATGACGGATGATCTATTGTAATATACAATCTATTAAAACAGAATATTAAGCCATTCAGGTTAATAAAAGTATATTTTAAAGTATTTTTTAAAGCAAAAAATATTAAGCAAGACTGCTTGACAGATTTTAGTTTGATACAGCAATCATATAGAATTTTTCTCTTACATGAGAGGATTTTTTCATTTCAATGTAGACCTATTCAGGCAAGTACAGCTTATATTTGGTCAATTTAATTGTTTATATCAGTCTTTTAAATTTTCTTTATTAGTTATTTCACATCCGGAGGGCTGTTTTAGCTTAATATACAACACTATCAAAGTTGTGCTTCTAAGCACTATTTTACTGCTTCCTATGGTAACACTATCAACCCCTGCAGGAATCGGGTTACAATATTTCCAAGATAAAGTGTGTCTGTCGACTAAGAAGTGTTTAAAATCCATTTCACATCATCCTGTACTGTTTGAGGTAGTCAGTGAGTCACACTTGCAGCACCCGAACGGATGAATGGTCACAGGGTCCACAGCTTCGGAAGTCTGATCAAGAGATGTCAAGTTCTTTAATTTGAGTATCGTTGGGGATGTAAATTAAGTCCAATATTATGCAGGTAGAATGACTGTATTTGCTTACTTTCGTTCGATGTGGAGTGGCATTCTCCAACCGGTTGCTGCGACTCAAAGAACATGAGAGATAAGCCTTGCTCCGTCTGATGAAGGAAACTATAGTCAAAAGTTCAACTTTAATTGTTACGAAATTCCTTAGAAATCGTATGTGATAATGCCGAAAAGCATTTATCAGCACATTACGGTGATACGTGTGTTAAGAGCACTATGGTGTTAAGGGTTTAAGACAGGTCATCACGTTAAAAAAATATAAACTCTATAATACT